TGAGGGCTTCCGGTCATGGCAGCCTGTGCACCAACGCGGGGTGCCCTGGCCTTGTGCTAGACCCAAGTTAGGAGGCAGGAATTGATCCTTCCTACTCCATCTTTAGATACATGAGAAGACACTGAGGGCAGAGAGGCAAGGCCTTCATACAGGGTTTCTTCATGCATAAGAAAGATTGGGAGCCACAGGGAGCCACGGGAACGAAGCAGATTCCCATCCTTCCCAGAGTCAATTCTTCCGGCACCTGCAGCCCCGCAGCTCTGCAGTACCCCTGGCGGCCCCCTGGGCACGTGAAGCCCTCCAGCTCCCAGCGCCCCTAGCGGCCCCATGGGCACCTACAGACCTCCAGCTCCACAGCGCCCCTAGTAGCCTGTGTGTAACGATTGAGATTGCGGCCTGTTCGGGTGGAAAAGCCCGTGGGAGACTCCTGTCCTGTTGTTCAGCAAAAAAGCCAAAGTGGTAGAGCACCAGTCCTGAGTGCAAAAGCTAAGGGCCGGTGCCCAGGCCCCGGGTTCCAGCCCACTCGTGCACACACATGTACTTGTGTGCACATGCACAACACACCCGTACATGCACACACACCACATGTGCACAGGCACACACGAACGTACACACGTGTTCCTGGAAGCCTTCTGAGGACTGAAGGCCCTGGCTGCAGAGAAAGCTCCACCTGAGAGGAGGAGAGGGGAGGAGGGGAGGAGCGGCTAAGAGGAGAGGAGGGAGGGAGCAGAGGCTTAGCAGATGCGCTGAATAGCTGTACATTCCTAGGGAGGGTCTGGCCTCCACACCCCCCACACCCCCTACCTACCCCCCCCCATGATGATCAGGTGATCCCTTCCCATAGCCCACGCATTGCCCAGGGTACTGATTTCCAGATCTTCCCCCCCCCCCAGGTCTGTGTCCCCTCCCCTCCCCCAGGGGAGGTCTGTGCTCTCCTCTCAGGTTCACACAGGTGGACTGTGGCACCACAGGCATATGGCTGCTTTCCCAGCCCCAAGGCCTAGTTGGGTGTTTGTGCCAACCGGCCAGTAGCTAAGAGGCTTTCCTTAGTTTCCTGGTGCCTTACTCTCACTTTCAAATAAACTACCTGTGCCCCGCCTTCTCCCCCCTGAAAATTCTTTAGTTGGTGGAGAAAAGGACCAAAGTTACTAGAAGACATCAGGTAGTAGGGTACTGATGTCTTTAGTGTGGAATTGCCTGTTTCCCTTTTTTTTCCTGGTGCTAATAGTACGGCGCAAACTCAAGGGCCTCACACTTATGGTCAGCTCTTTTGCTCAAGGCTAGCACACATCCACTTGAGCCACAGACTCATTTCCAGCTTTACTGGTCATTTGGAGGTGTACCATGGGCTTTTCTGCAGTCACTGGCCTAGAACTGCAATCTTCAGACCCAGCCTCCCGAGTATATGGATGAGCCACTGGTACCTGGCTGTCACAGCAGATTCCTAAAGCTGAAAAGATGTTTCCCAAAGGCGAATCTGTTGAATGATCCTTCACTTTGCACTTAGAATTCTTCAGTGATTTCTTGCTACCTTGACCCTAGCTCAGCTCTTCAGTTTACTTCTACACTTTAGCTCCAACCACACTGCTGTGGTGTGGCTGAAACTTTTACAGGCTTCTGCATGCGGCCTCCCCTCTGGGATCCTGAGAGCAAAGGGGATCACCTCTGATACAGGTTTGAGCTGGATCCTTTCTGTGTTCCAACTGCATCTCTGTGAGTCTCAATCACAAAACTTAATCCTAAGTACTCTAAAACAGAGGCGTAATTCTGTCTGATCTCAGGTACCTACCACTCAGTAGCTGAGCACTGGTGGCTCACACCTGTAATCATAGCTTCTCGGGAGGCTGAGATCTGAGGATCGCAGTCCGTGAGACCCACATCTTCAATAAGCTACTCACAAAAAGCCAGAAGTGGAACTGTGGCTCAAGCAGTAGAGTGCTATCCTTGAGGGGCTCAGGGACAGCACCCAGGCCCTGAGCTCAAGCCCCAGGACTGGCAAAAAATAAAAAAATAATAAATTAGTTACTAAGACTCATAGAAGAACAAAAAGGAAATTCATTTGAAAACTTTTTCAATTTTCTAATTTAATAGAAATAACCAAAACAATGTGGTTCTCAAACAAGGCTTCAAACTAATCTAATACAACTTCTACAACACATTCCAGAGCATTGTAATGAGAATTATTTACAGGCAGCTAATGTATTAAATAACCATGAAAAAGGAAAAAACTTGGTTTTATTACACATCAGCAAAAAACACAGGAATGGAACAATTAGAAACTGTAACCTTGTTTAAAAAATTAAATATGATCATTTAGAGAATACAATACCACAGAAACAGCACTTGTTCTTCCATAATCATATTGGAGGGCCATTAACCATGTGCAAAAAACAGTAGGAGCAGTGATGGTGGTGAGGAGGAAGGCAGGAGACACTGGCACAGAGGTACTGGTAAGGCTGCTGAACTTAACCCTTTGTGTGCAGTGCTTCTATATAGAAAGATGAACAGGTTTTCCAACTGCAGAAATCCTTTCTAGAGGAGTATGCACTTTTCCCTGCATTAAAAGCTAATAAAATGTCAACATTTTTCAGACCAGGAGCAGACATTCATTTCATTTGGAAGAATGAAATTTAGGCCACAATTGAATGGGAATACTGCAGTACACTTAGCCATTTTGGTGTCTTCTTACATAGAAATTTGGTAAATTTAAAATACTTTCCATTTTTAAGTACCACTTGCTAGAAAAAGGGTTAACCTTAACTTGATATGTCTGTAGTTTGATAGGACAAATACTCCCACTTAAGTTATTTTTTAAAGTAATTTTGTTTCTAAAATGCAATCAAACTATATAAAGGACCCCGTTATTAAGAAGCTGGGACAGCAGGAATGCACCTGACGTTATTAAGAAGCTAGGACAGCAGGAATGCACCTGACCAAGAGGAGCCAAAACCAGAAATGTCCGTGTAAACTGTGGCATATAAATTTTTTCCCTAAAAAAGTACCTTCAAACTTTATTTTACTTACACAGCTACTTTAAAAAAATATGCAATTTCCCCCAATGTTTAAAATAAAATGCCACAATATATTGTCATTACCTCCAACATACATTTCAATTTCTTCATTTTTAAAAAGACTGGTGATACTGCATACAAACTTTCCTACAAAACCACCATCTGGGGGAAGATTTCTGACATGCTGTTAGGTGACAGACATAAGCAGTGCTATTGCTTCATCGAGGAGGAACCGACTGGAGAAAAAGTGTGCCCAATCCAACTGCAACACCCTCAAAACCTCCATCACCTTCAGCAGTAATTCATACAGAGGTGGAAATTCAGAACTCATGATAGAACTACTTTAGTTAAGGGAGTTGGGGTGGGATTTTCATAAAGCTACTCACTGATCCAGTGCTGAATATGCAAATAGGAGTAGGCATGGCTGGCTTTGCCAGGAAGAACTAGCTGTCCTCAGGCTGCTGAGTGTGAGCAGGGGTAGGTTCTGGGAACGGGTATGAAAAGGGGTGCTGGGTGGGGGGAAGACACCTTAGCATCGACTCCCATTCTGGACAAACCAAGGGCAGACTTGGAAGACTAATAACACTAATCACTAATAACTGCATGTCAGGAGACCAGCTGAGGTAAACCTACAATATGCACACTTTAAAGCATTTCTTTGGATTAACTATAAATCTCAAAACCGCTTATGAAGAAAAAGTCAAAGTTAACTTTTAAAATGTCCTGATGTAAGAAACAGAATTCATTAAGAACCAACTTACTGGTTCCACAGTGACTCTGGCTAGCCTGAAGCTTACCCTTCTTCTGGTCTCCAAGTGATACACAGTACAGACCCCCCAGCTACCCTCATGTTTGCAGATCTCACTTCCAGGAAGTAGTGCCTCACTACTAAAGCACTAAAAATCCCATCTCTTAGGTCTGGAGAACAGCCTGAGGAACAGTTAAGTCTAGTTTTCTGATGGGAAAAATACATAAAAAATGCTGAAAGGCTTGAAGGAAATGTTTTGTAGCCTTTTCTCCAAATTTAAAATAATGGTTCTTAACAAAGACTACACATGTCGTCAGAGTATCAAAAGAACTGACTTCAGGAACTGATACTCAAATGTCTGTCTTGTAAAACATAAATAGGAAACACATTATAATTGAATATCAATTAATGTTTATACTTTTAAATAGTTATGTCAAAGCTGAACAAACCAGCTTAAAAACACAAGGATCAGTATACAAGGAGGTTCAAGAAAATTTAAAGCAAACATCATTAATGTTGGCTTGTTGGCATTATTAATTTAATAGTAAGTCCTCAGCAGCAAGATTTATCTTTTGTCAATAGAAATAACACCTACTGGACCCTGAAAAGAGCATAGTTTTGAACTGACTGGTTTAACAGACCTTCAAGGAAACAAAACTCTCATCCAACACAAAAATATCTTTAAAGGAACACATTATCTTTTTAGAGCTCTAAATATTGAGATATCTGCTTAAGTTTTGTTTCTCCCCAACTTGGGTGAACCTACTTATGACCTGAGAATTTTAGAGAGAATTCATGTAAGGAGCTAAATACTAAATAGTAGAGGTCAAAGGCTTAACAGAATGAAGCTATACTGCAACTGCTCACTTTCTAAACCTGCCCCCTAGATCTATGTCTATTTATAAACAGAATCATGAATATCACCAGAGAAACAGATGTAAGAGAGATGCAAGAGTATATAGTTTTAAGCATTTTAAAATGATCTTTTTTCTCTCACTCACAGAAAACTCTATTAGGAATTTGAAAGTGTAGTAAAATAATAAAACAGCTTGCACACAGCTTGCTTTGTTTTTGGTAAGTCTTAATTTATAACAAAGAAGAAAGAAAAGCTAAAAGGAAGCCAGGGAACAAAAGTAAACAGGTAAAATCAATTTTGTTTAAATACACCATCAGAAGGCCTGAATCACATTCCTATTTACCCTATTCCTTGTTAAGAAAAGAAAAACCACCCAAACAATCTGTATGATAATTTCTTTAGAATACTTTATTTGATCCAATGCGAACTAAAAAAATTTACTTTTTAGACAATCAGGTCAATTTTCTGAGTAGTCTGTGGTCTGAACTGCTTCAGTGGAGTTACTAAAAAGGCAAATGATTTGCCACAAATCTGCTGACATCTGAAAAACATCTAATGGGAAATTCTTCTATTTTGGTCACTTTTCATTCTAATGTATCCACATAAAAGCAGGACTAAAAATTTTAATCCAACAAAAGAGAAGCCTGCACAAAGTCTAGAACACACGTTTTGAGTCTGAGCAACACGAGTGAAGAGAAATGAACCAAAGCCAAGCTGGTTGTCTGCTTCCACTGCCAGGCAGGCTGGGTGCACTGTGGACGCCAGTCCAGGGGAGAGTGGCTTATTTCCTGCACTTACACACAGGATTCTTCTAGGTCTTTTCAAGCCCCAAGTCCAGGCAAATGTCCCACTTGGTGGACAGATGAGGGATCTAAACCCCACCGGGTTTTATTTCAATATTGTGGTATTTCAGTAATAAGCTGCTTCTGAAGATTTTCTGAGAAGTCTGTTCTCTATTAAAATAAGATAGAACTTCAAAATATGAATGTGAACATTAGAAATAGACAGCATATATTACAAACCCATTTTTGATAGGGACATTAGTAAGAATACACATTAGCTTAAAAAAACAGGCTCAGCAAATGTTGCCGATCTGCCAGTTTTAGTTCACTATTTACAAATAAGACAAAGTGAATTACAGAAAATTTTACACATTTGGTAGTTGACAGATTACTGTTTACCAATAATGCTCTATTGGAAAACTGATATATGAAGGAAGACTGGATAAGAGCCAGTTGTTACCTTCTCAATCAAATTTAAATGTACAGAAAACTAGTTAACTTTGAACAAACATTCTGCCTTGTGTGGGAATCGCTGCGGCCGGCTGATCTGAGTGGGAGGTGCCGTGTGTGGAACAGTTCTCTGGGAAGTCATCACATTATTTCCACAGACCATGGAGGTGATGGTGCCATCAGTGGTCATGGGTGAGGACAACACAAAACTATTGTTGAGTTCATGCCAATTTAAAAACTAAGACAATGGGGTAGGAAGGATATACTTTCATGATTCACTGCACATCTGAATGGACATTAAAGTGGAATCTGAGACTCTTTTTTTAAGGAGAAAAATAATAAAAACCAAGGGGAAAAGCTTAGAAGTTGTTTTAATAACTGCGTACTCCAGTCCAAAGACAAGGTATTGAGCAACATGAGCTTTGTGTACTTATGTATACACACCCAGTGTCCTACACTGTTAATACTATATGAATAACACTCAGAGAACATCCTCAAATCATTTCACTTTTGCTCTTTCACTCACAAGTCGCAAAGTGTTTCCCCCACCCCTTGATGACAAGCACGTCTCTGTCCATCAGTTCATTCTAATACTGGTAGACGCTGTCGGCTTCCTCTAGGAGGTGCCCACCGTAGGCAGGATATACCACAGCAACACTTAAATAAAAGCATTTTTTCTTTTCTTTCTTTTAAAAACAACTGATATAAGTCCATGTCACTTTACTTTATGTGCACTGGCCTCTCGTCTGACTTCAGGCGTTTTCTGCGAGGCTGAATAAAGTCTTCGTCAGAGTCCTCAGTCACCTCACCGTCATCCTCCTCCTGCTCAAACTCTGGCAAAGGTGCGAAGGTCCTGTCTGAGTAGATCTCTGTGAGTTTATCTTCAAAGTACAATGCCACTGCCTTCCCTGCCTGTGCTACTTCTGAGTCAGCCTGCAAGCAAAAGAGAGGAGCCGTCACCCGTGGGCAGTGCACACGCCTTCACCAAGCTTGCATGGTCTGAAAAGCTTACCTTCAAATTAATCTCTTGTGTGTCTGCATAAACTTGAACAACTTTCATCATCTAAAAAGGACACCAGAGTCAAAAAAAAAGGGAAATTATAATCCTTTCTAAGTTAAGAAACGGCATAGGATTGGCGACGAGTCAGCCATACGAGGGAACAGACTGCTATATAAATGCTTGTTCAACTTCATACAACATGACCAACTTTGTGTACAACACCCTGTTGCTAATGGTGCTGTGAAGCTTCCAGAAATCTCATTCCAAATAACAAAGGTCAACTTTAGCAAGAATAATCTACCCAAGAAGAAAATATTTGTGAAACAAATGAAAAGAAATACTGCTTCTAAAAACTGTAGAGCTTTCGACAAAACAACCAGAGTTTATCTTTATATGGATGGCAATACAGAAACCACAAATTAATTTCTCATAAATGTCATATGCACATTCATATCAACTTGAGTTCATGAAGGACTTTGGATTATTATTTTGTAAGTGGAAATTAGTAAGATTTTACTAATTTACTCTTGTGGCATATTTGCTACTTTTCACCTTACAAGAATTTTTCTTTCTTTTTTTTTTGGGGGGGGGGAGGGGAATTCAAGTCCTGGGACTTGAATTCAGGGCCTGGGCGCTGTCCCAGAGCCTCTTCGTGCTCAAGGCTAACGCTCCACCATTTGAGCCACAGCGCCACTTCCAGCTTCTTTTGAGTAGTTTATTGGAGGATAGGAATCTCACAGACTTTCCTGCTCAGGCTGGCTTTGAACTGCAATCCTCAGATCTCAGCCTATTGAACAGTTAGGATTACAGGCGTGAGCCGCTGGTACCCAGCAGGATTTTTTAAAATAATAAAATGTCACCTAAAGAGATAGATAGCTACTGGTAGACTTTACATGATTCAATGTGATTTAACTAAAACAGCAATATAAAAAGTTTTAATATTCATTTTTATGAAGACTTGATAGATTCTCATCTAATTCCATTTTTCTCTCCTACAATGAAAACTGTCCATAATAGTAACAGACTTTATTACAAAAGTAACAAAAGTAAATTTCTTGACAGAGGCACAAATCATGTTTCTTCTTAAAGTATGTATATCATCACATTTTTATCCTCAAAAAATAAACAACTAAAATGAATGAAAGTCACACTGCGGAAACCATAAAACTCATCATTATATACTCTGAGTTATTTTTCAAGATGAGCCATCAGAGATACATTTATGATTTTAAGGCTCTGCATATCAATAAAATGCCAAAAATATGGGTACAAATAAATTCCTCTTCAAAGTACCCAAAATATCATATCCAATCAATTTACTTAACTGCAGATTACTTTCCATAATTAACCCAACTCACAGCTCAGGAAGGGCATTCAATACATTCTCAATATATTGTATCTAGGTACATACTCCAAATTATACATTTTAAAAATCCCTTCTTTGGAGCTGCAAATAAAGTCAAATTTTGCTTTTGAAAGAAATGAAGAAAAAAAATTTAATCAAAGAAAATTCTTTCACTAAAAATAAAATTTAAAAAATAACCCAAAATAAAATAAAAACCCAAAATAAAAAACACGTAAGCCAGTATTAGGTTGGAAGCTAACATACTTCATTAAACCTTTCACAGTTCTTGAAGATCAGACGAACATCAGCCACAAAGTCATCTGGGATTTGGTAATGTTGGGAATGTTTTTTTTGAAGTTTCTTTTTCACGGTGGACAAATCCATTGGTTTCTTTATTATCTTGTAGTAGTTTGGTATCTAAAACAATAAGAAAAAGCAGATAAGAACTGCCCACACATGTCTGAAAATGCATAGCATATGAATCACGTGAGGTCTTTTATGCCTTCTGCTTCCATCCTGTCCTGAGAGCCTAGGTGCCAGCCACATGTCATACCCCTTGGATGACTCCAAATTCTAAACCTTTAATAAATATATATATGGAAAAGCCAGGGGAGCCCGCCAAAACACTCACATCTGGAACAGCCAAGTTTCACTTATTATTTTGTCCCTTTTTAAGAGAATATGGCCAGGCATGAGTGGCTCACACCTGTAATCCTAGCTACTCAGAAGGCTGAGATCTGAGGATCATAGTTCAAAGCCAGCCTGGACAGGAAAGTCCGTGAGACTCTTATCTCCAATAAACCACCAGAAAACTGAAGTGGAACTGTGGCTCGATTGGTGGAGGAGGAAGAGGAAGAGGAGGAATTGCTGTTATGATCAGAGCATCATATCTTTTAGAAGATATCTCAGGAAAATATGATTTTATGTCAAAAAGAAGTCTCAGCTTTTAACAATGGAGGAGACAAGTTTACTATTAATCATTTACTGTTTTGACCCTATCTACTTTTGGCCAAAAAGTTTTCTACAAGTGGAATATAATTGAATATGGAGACGCTATTTAAGGCTTGTTTATTGTGGCCTATTTTGAAGCGGAGTCTATGTAGCCTAGGGTAGCCTTGAACTCTGGATTTTACTGTTATCAGTCTTCTGAGCCTTGGGCCACTCTCTTAATCCCAGAAGAACTATCTAAATACTTCATGAAAAGAAACATAGGCTTTAAATCTGTACTTTAAATTCATTTCTCAGCTTACTCAGCAAAAAGTCAACTATCATTTAGTATTTTCTTGCCTGCAGCATATGCAATAATATATTATTGAATTAATAGCCAGCAAATAAAATGTATGTATCATATTCTTATGCTACTTTTTAGGCACTGAAAACTTCTGGGGGTACTTTAGATCCTTGATTCTTTACAACAAGAGTCATCACAGAATAAACAAAAAGTAGTTTTTTTCCTAGTGTCTTTTCTCAATCTTGACTAAATCAGAGGGTTTTATCATAGCAGAGCTAGCAAACACATGTGTTAGTGTTTGTATAGGACACTGTTGTGATCTCACACAGTGATGCACACTTGACACCCCAGCCTTTGATGGAGGAGGACTGCAGTTATAGAGAAACCAACCAACCAACACTAAACAGAAAGGAAATGCAGAAGAGTATGTAATGTCTCCTGGAAGATCACAAGTTTGAGGCCAGCCAACCTAAAGTTTGAGGCCAGCCATCCTAGTCTATTCAGACCCTATCTCAAAAATGAGTGCCTAGCATGCATGAAGCCCTGGGTTCAATTCCTCACTACCACATAAACAGAAAATGCTGGAGTGGCACTGTGGCTCAAGTGGTAGAGTGCTAGCCTTGAGCAGAGAGAGGCTCAGGGACAGTGCCCAGGCCCTGAGTTCAACTCTAGAACTGGCCAAAAAATAAAAGAAGAAAAGAGCTGGGCAAAGTGGCTAAAGCCTGAAATCCTAAGCTAGGTGGGAAAGGTCATGGATTGAGGTAAACCCAGGCACAGACGTTCTTGAGATGCTATTACACACAGAGCTTGTGGTGTGCACCTGCTACCCTAGAGACGGGGAGAAGCACAAGCAGGAAGATAGCCGCCCAGTCATGCCAGGCAAAAGACCCTGCAAAAAATCCAAGGAGTCGTGGTTCAAGTACTTAATTAAGTACCTGCTTTATCTGAGTTCAACCCAGCACTGACTCCCTCAAAAAAAAAGCCAGGTGCCAATGGCTCTTGCCTGTCACCCTGGCTCCTCAGGATGCTGAGATCTGAGGATCATGGTTCAAAGCCAGCCCAGGCAGGAAAAATCTGTTAATTATCTCTAATTAACCACCAGAAAACCCAAGTGGCACTGTAGCTCAAGTGGTAGAGAGCTAGTCTTCAGCTAAAGAGCTGAGGGGCAGTGCCTAGACCCCAGAGTTCAAGCCCTACAACTGGCAAAGAGAAAGAAAAAGAGAAAGAGACAGAGAGAGAGAGAGGTAAGAGAAATGGAGAAAGGAGGAAATAAAAGTTGCTTGATAGCCAGGCGCTGGTGGCTCACGCCTGTAATCTTAGCTACTCAGGAGGCTGGGATCTGAGGATCCTGGTTCAAAGCCAGCCCGGGCAGGAAAGACCATGAGACTATCTCCAATAAACCACAAGAAAACCGGAAGTGCCACTGTGGCTCAAGTGGTAGAGCACTTGCCTTAAGCTGAAGAGCTGAGGGACAGCACCCAAGCCCAGAGTTCAAGCCCCATGACCAGCAAAAAAAAAAAAAAAGTTGCTTGATGGAAGAACTAAGTTTTCTGATTCCTAGTTCAATGTTTTTTTCATTGTAATTGTTTCTCTTACATTTTAAAAGTAAAAAAAAAATTCACTTATCAGGGCAATAAAATCTCTTAGAGCAAACTATTATTTTTTAAGATTGAGATTGGGTTTTGATAATTTCACTAATTACCTGGTACCCTACCACCTGAGCCAAGCCTCCAAACCCTGTAATCCTTTTAAAAAACAGGGTATAGCTAAGTGGCCCAAGATGGCCTCAAACTCCCATTCCCCACCCCAGCGGGAATAATAATATGACCCATCACACCCAGCCCAAGAACCTGTAATTTTAATCAAATGAATTGGTACATCTATTTAGATCTAATGAAATTCCTGATTCATTAAGTACTTACTATGTTCCAAAGTACTACACTTAACACTTTACACAGGTTGTCTTATGTACTCTTCAAAATGATAAAGTAACAAGTGTTAGAATCATTACACAATGTAAGTATCAAATTGTCACCTTATGTTCCATAAATTATACAACAGAAAATTTTTTTTCCTAAGATGAGATAGGGAAAGAAAAGATGTTGATTAAAGGATTTAAACTGTAATTTGATTGGAAGGTTAAGTTTGAGATTTACTGACTCTTGTGGTGCCCACAGTAATATATTACACATTTCAAAATTGTTAAATAGGTTTAATAATCTCACCACAAGTATGTTCAATTGGTGAGATGATGGGTGGATGTATGAAAATCTTTATTAAACTTGACCAAGTCTTTCTATATATACATAGATCACAACGTAAAGCCATACTCCATTATTATTTGCCAAAATAACTTTTAAAGAACCTCAGAAAATGTTGAGTCTTGGAGGACCTTAAAAGCTTAATCAGGAAGACTGAGCTTCACTACAAGCTCAGAAGTCTGGAGCAAGGTAAAGCCTGTATTCTCAAGCATCACATGAGATGACTTCGTCACCAAAACAAGTAGATCCGGGTTTGTAACTCACCGAAACAGGAACAGGCTCCTGGAATTCAATACTTAATTCATGGCAATAGAGGTAAAGCAGAAGGCGTTCACATTTCTGGTACCACAAAGAAAAGGAAGACATATTTAGTATCACCTCATCTCTGGTAAGATATTCTTGACAATAAGATTAATTGCACTGTGAAATGTTACATATTTACATATCTACATATCAGCTATCTAAACATATTCAAAAGGAAGCCCATCTGCCTCCCATATAATTTTGAAATTATGTCCTGTTCTATCTGAAATAAATGAAGTGTGCCTTTATTCTAATATAACTAAGGTAACAAGCACTGTTTATAGAAACAAACATAGTTATAATACCAACATATAGCACTCTGTGCAAAAATTTGTGAATTATTAGGTAAGAAGGAAATAAATTATTACTCTATGGTAATAAATTATTACTCTTGCAACACACAGTAATTCTCTCAAGTGAGCAAATCAAGTATTCTTGCCCTTATTTCAAGTTGACTCCACTCAGGTTCAACATATATACAGCCCATCTCTCCTCAATCCAATTACAAAATTTTTCTTTGCACATCTACTAAGTTTCCAGGTGTATTTTGCATTTGTAGTTTTCTATCTACTTAAAATGTCTGCTAATGTAAGTTCATACACATTCAACACACAGTGGAGAAAAGATTTTGCAAGTCTACTGAATCACGCTTAATGGCCACAGAACTAGGTGGAAGACATTTTATCCTCAGAAATGAGCCTACAATCAAATCAGCAACAGCCAGAGTACAGTGAAGAAAGAACATTTGATTTCATTCCTAACTTATCAGAAACTTAGAAGATTTTAAGGCATATATGTGATAGGCTTCTTAGCTTTTTTGGGGGGGAGGGGAGGGATGCTGGTACTAGGGCTTATACTTAGGATATGGTAATGTCCTTTAGCTTTTTTGCTCTAGCCCTAGTACTTCCTACCACTCGAACCATAGCTCTACTCTGTCTTTTCTGGTGGGTAACTGAAGATAAGAGTCTCATGGATTTTGTTGCCTAGGTTAGCTTCAAACCATGATTTTTAGCCTCCTGGGTAGCAGCACCCAAACTTCATTTTTTTTAAAAAAAAGAACACTTCAATATATAAAAATTGGATTAAAGGTGGAACAAGAATAGACAGAGAGGGGCTGGGAAGGTGGCTCAGTGGTAGAGCACTTGCCTTGCATGCATGAGGCCCTGGGTTCAATTCCTCAGCCCCACATAAGCAAAAAGAAAAAAGCCGGAAGTGGCGCTGTGGCTCAAGTGGTAGAGCGCTAGCCTTGAGCTGAGGGACAGCGCCCAGGCCCAGAGTTCAGGCCCTACAACTGGACCAAAAAAAAAAGAATAGACAGAGAAACCAGTTACAAAATTATGGTAACAGTCTAGGTAAGAAATTATGATGGGGCTGGGAAGGTGGTTCACTGGAAGAGTGCTCGCCCAGCATGCATGAAGCTCTGGGTCTGTTCCTCAGTACCACATAAACAGAAGCCAGAAGCAGTGCTGTGGCTCAAAGTAGTAGAGTGCTAGCCTGGAGCAAAAGAAGCTCAGGGACAGTGCGCAGGCCCTGAGTTCAAACCCCAGAACTGGAGGGAAAAAAAAAAGTTATGATGGCAGTCTAGGGTTGTCATGGCTTGGATTCCTCATTTCTAATAGGCTTCTAAACTGAGCCATGGAAGTGAACAGTGATAACTATTTAGTGATAGGGAATACTGAGAAGGGAGAATAGTTATTTTATGTTATTTGATTTCTTTTGGGGGGGAGGGTAAAGATTAAAAATCAGTGGTAGAACTAGCCTGAGATCCTGAGTTCAAACCCTAATATGGCCCTAAAATAGAAAAAAAGACCAGGATTTTAGTTAGAATATGTTAAGTGAAGAAGCTGCATAAGCATCACAAACTGAGGAGTATTAGAAAAGATTTCAGAAATACTAATATGCCATCAGATCGTGGAACTATAAAACTCTAAAGGTTTGTGTAACACATAGACAAACAGAAGCAACAACCCTAGGTAGATAGGTTAACAAATCGGCCTATTTGACACTTACCCTTTGGTCCACAGGGCTCAGTCCCTGTACGGTTTTCCCCTTCTTGCTGTGCTGCAAATTATCACAATCATATTCAACTTCTGGCTTCCCAATATCTCTGCAAAACGTGCATATCCAGTCCCCACTGTGCAAGAAGACAGGCAATTAGTTCATGTGACTGTAATCAAGTGTGCTCTAGACACAAACTCCCTGAATGCAAGTTTGTTTTCTTTAGTTTTGTATTTTGGATAAAGATTGGTTGCCACATTACATGAACCTACTTCCTGAATAAAAGATATGGAGAGCCTTGGTGTCTTATACTATGTTGTCATATGTTATACTTGCCAATCATAAATTAAGACTTATTTCATGTCAACTCAAAAGATAGAATACAGAAACACAGACCGATAAGTACCAGCACAGCACATGTACAAATAAATACCCCTCATCTTTTTAATACTCTTCTTTTTTTTGGGGGGGGTGCATTTACTGGTGGGTTTGAATTAAGAGCCTCATGCTTGCTTGCTAGGCTAGCATTCTACAACTTTAACCATGCCTTCAGCCTAGTTGTTTGGGAGAATGAGTCCAGCAACCTTTTCTGCCTAGGCAGGCCTAAGCCACAATGCTCCAGATTTCAACCTCCCTGAGTGGCCAGGATTGTTAAGTGTGACCCACTGGCATTTGGCTCTCCTTATCGTTCCATTCTGATAAAGTCTATACTTTTTTTTTTTTAACCAAACTGTATCAAACTAGAAATTCCAGTTGGACACTGGTGGCTTCACAGTCATCATGTACACCAAGAAAAATACTAAGTTTTCACTCAAACAAAAATAAAAAATAAATAAATAAAAAGAAAGGGAAAAAAGAAGTGACTCAGTGGTACAGTACTTGCCTGGCATACTGAAGGCCCTAGGTCTGATTACAAGTATAGCAAGCAAAACAAGCATATAGACAAATAAGGTAATAAATTCAGAGTTAAAAAAACACAAGTACAGCCAGGTGCTGATGGCTCACACCTATAATCCTAGCTACTCAGAGGATTGCAGTTCAAAGTCAGCCCATGCAGGAAAGACTCTTATCTCCAATGAACCACCAGAAAAACTGAAGTGAAACTGTGGCTAAAAGTGGTAGAGTGCTCACCTTGAGCAAAAAAAGAGCCTAGGGACAGTGCCCAGGCCCTGAGTTCCAGCTCCAAGAAAGACAAATAAAAAAACAAAAACAAAAAAGCACCACAAGTACAACTGGGTGAAGTGGCACATGCCCATAAATCCCAGATATTCAGGAGTCTGAAGTGGGAAGATCAGGTGTTGGAAGCCAATTGGGGCAAGTTAGCAAGTTTCTGTCTCAAAGTAAAACATAAAAAGGTTTGGGAATATAACTTAGTAAAAGCCCAGAACATGTAAAGCCCTAGGCTCAATCCCAGTACAAACAAACAAACAAACAAAAAAGGCCTAAGGATTCTACAATTTCTTTTTTGTATCAGTACCGGTGCTTGAACTCAAGGGTTCTCACTCTCATCTGTGACCACTCTACAACTTGAGCTACACCTTCTACTTCCGGCTTTTGCTGGTTATTAGAGGTAAGAGTCTTAGATCTGTCTCTCTGGACTGGCTTTGAACTTCAGTCCTTGGATCTCTGCCTCCTGAGTAGCCAGGATCATAAGCACCAAATCTCACTGCTTATAAATGCAAAACTGACACTTGAAAATCAGGTATCCAAAGTCCCAGAAGAATTATAAGTAGACTACATATTCACTCTACTGAATGAACTAGGATTATAAATTTGCCTAGGATGCTCACTTTGGCTAGTCCTGGGGCTTGAACTCAGGGCCTGGACACTGTCCCTGAGCTTCTTTTTCTCAAGATTAGCACTCTACCACTTGAGCCAGAGTGCCACTTCCAGCCTTTTCTGTGTACGTGGTACTGAAGAATTGAACCCAGGGCTTCATGCATGCTAGGCAAGCACTCTACCACTGAACTACTTTCCCAGCCCATCTATGAATGTTTTAATGCTTCTAACTCTTATTTAGCAGACTCTTAAGGACAAACTTTACATTCTCAGTCTCTTTACCCATCTTTACTTCATCTACAAAGAATTTAGTAACTGCCCACACAAAGTCAATAAAGGAAAAACATTCTAACTGGGAATGATGGTGCAACATTTGCAATCCCTGCACGTGGGAGGCCAAGGCAGGAGGATTACAAGTTCAAGGCCAGTCTGGACTATATAGGAAGAGGGTCTCATTTAAGGTTTGAACATTTTGTCATCCTAATATTTTTTCTCAAAGCTAATACAAATGGAGCAAATGACTGTTTTACAGAAATACTATGAAGTGGTTAAGAAGGCTATATGACTTTTCAAGTTTTTCAGAAACAGCTTTCTGTTGTATTTTTAGCTTTTGAAAATAACAGAGACAAAATGGATTGTTCCAGTGGTACCTTGGAAAGCTAAGAAGTGTTGGAACATGACAAGTTAGATGAAAGACCTTTGGACACTTTTCACAGCACAACAGATCCCCTCCATTCTGGCAGACGGCACACCAGTCCTCGTTGGGGTCCTCATCTTTGCTGCTGCCATCTCCTCCAATCCTGGCCGACCTGTGTATGAGGCTTCGCACTGGAGACTTTCCATTTACTAGGCCACTGAGCCCAGACTGTTTGCAGCTTTCATTCACGTCAGTGGGCTCAGTCTTCACGTGGTTCTCTAGGCTGGCTAATGTGTCCAGCTCACTCTCTAGATGCAGGTTAGTTGAGAGAGGTGGTGTCAAGCTACTCTCGGGGCTGCTCAACTAAGACAAAACAGACAAATTCTTGAAAAAATCATTTTATCCTTATGGCACACAATGTGCGTTTATTTAAAAATTATGTCAGTATCCATACTGATAAACTAATGTTAACTTAAAATCTACTTTATAAATCCTATTAGTGACAGTGAAGAATGAAAATAACCTCAAAATTATTTAGATATGCTAATGTATGATTTTAGAATGTCTATCCCTCTAGTGTGGGGGAGGAGGGTTCAACTACATAAAAGGAAATTAGTTAAAAATTAAGTACACTGTCTGAAGTTAAGCAGTTGCATTCTTTCCTACAGAGAAAGCTGCCTATGGCACATTATTTTCCCATCAAGAATCTGTTGTATCGAGTTTGAGAAACATTTTGTATTGTCCTCCGCCCACCTATCTTTCTACTAATATAGGAAGGCTGTGTAAAATAAACATGGGGGGGGCAGTCTGGGGGCTTGAAGGCAAGGCCTCATGCTCTTGGTTTAGCATTTTTTTCCCTCAAGGCTGGAGCTCTACCACCTGAACCACACTTTTGACTTTTTGCTGATTAACTGGAGATGTCTCTTAAGATTTGTCTCCCCAGGGTGGCTTTTAACCTCAATCCTCAGATCTCAGCTTCCTGGCTAACTAGGATTATAGGCAAGAGCCACCAGTGTCCAAACTCATCATCAATTCTTATGGGGGAACTTTCCAGATTAAGTTTACTAAAGACTAAATCTATTGTTCTCTGACATGAATTTTTATGTGTCATTGAACATATTAATGCCTTGATGTTATTTTTTTTTGGGGGGTGGGGAGGGGTCCGGGCATGGGGCCTGAGCTCTGGGCCTGGGCGCTGTCCCTTAGCTCTTCAGCTCAAGGCTAGCGCTCTACCACTGAGCCAGCATGCCAGCCCTGCCTTGATGTTCTTACGTGCCAAAAATATAGTAATACAGATGCCTTGTTAGGAAGGAAAACAAAAATCAAAATTTCTAAATGAAAGGGACTTAGGCCTTCCTCCATTCTATATTATAAATTTTAACATCCTATTTAAAGCAACTCTTGGATAGCTAAAAATTCATAAACAAAAAAGGCAATTTTATCACCAATCTTTAATCAATTGTTTTCTTTCATATAAATTTTTTTTTGTGTGTGGTACTGAAGTTTTCAACATGGGGCTTTGACAGACAAGCCCTATTATTCCAACCTCCATACTGAGGGTTGAAGCCTGAGCCTCCTGGGACCTCAGCCATACAAGAAATCTAAACGCTCAAGGCCTATAGCTAAGGGTCTTTTGGGGGCATGAGATTCAATATGGATGAGATGACTAATAAATTTAGAATAGACAATATCAGCTAATACAAAATGTGGGGAAAAAATCAGGTTGCGGATGTTCCTTGGTGGTGGGGGCTTGCTTAGTATACACAAGGCTCTCAGTTTGACTCCCAATACATCCCTGATGTACACACACACACACTGACAAGATAGAGCCTTATTTAGCATTATTACAAAAATATTAACAGAATAAAATTTCAAAGGCAATTTCAAATGCATACTGAATTTTTTCTGATTACAGTTGACTCAGACGATAAAAATGAATTAGAAGAAGAGATATGTGGCTTGTGTCAGACATACAAACAGAAACAGAGATCCCCAGAAGCTAGACTGAGGTGAACTTTCTACCAGTGAAGCGACGCCCACAGGCCGTGTCAGACAGACCCACAGGGATTTACCATGCAGGCACTCCTCCTGCCGTCTTCGGCCTTCTCTTGCTTCACAGCCCCGGAGAAGCTGCACACTTCATCTTCCATCCCAGGTTCCTGCTTGACCTTCACTTGATCTGACTTGAAACTAAGACCTGTCTTCTCAGCAGTTCTCCCTGACGATCCACAGCTAATAAATAACACACAAAGGTCACATGTATGAACTACGATGTAAACAAAAATAATTACATGAAAAGTATTTATTAAAGTGAGGACAATAGAGAACAACCACACACAAGGTAAGGATACATCATAATGCAGTTTAGAGGACTGTGATGGGAGCCTACCTGCAAATCTCCTTAAAAATGTAAACCCGACTTTCAGATGACCCTAAGAATACATTTCTTTTTCTTTTTTTGGGTCCGGTCACGGGGCTCTGGGCCTGGGCGCTGTCCCTCAGCTCTCCAGCTCAAGGCTAGCGCTCTACCACTTGAGCCACAGCGCCACTTCCGGCTTTTTTCTTTTTGCTTATGTGGTGCTGAGGAATCAAACCCAGGGCCTTAGGCATGCAAGGCAAGCGCTCTACCACTGAGCCACCTTCCCGGCCCAAGAATACATTTCTTAATCTGAGGCACTTTTAGTAAAAATCATTTTCTAGGGGCAGTACAGGTTGAATTTTCTGTATTTGAAATACTTGGGATTAGTTTTCTGATTAGGGAATTGTCTCAAACTTTGAAACTGTGCGAATGAAGGACAGAATGGAACTCAAGTCTGAATTCTAAATATCAAATTCACTTAATGTTGCTTACACAAACATAATCAGAAGGTAATTTTATGCAGTATTTTAAATTAAACCTTAATTTTTTTTAATTTTAATTAAAATTTTAATTTTAAAATGGGGCCTGAACTCTGGGCCTGGGCGCTGTCCCTCAGCTCTTCAGCTCAAGGCTAGCGCTCTACCACTTGAGCCACAGCGCCACTTCTGGTGTTTTTCCTTTTGCTTATGTGGTGATGACGAATCGAACCCAGGGCCTCAGGCATGCAAAGCAAGCACTCTACCACTGAGCCACCTTCCCAGCCCCCTGTGAGACTCTTATCTCCAATTAACCACTAGAAAACTGGAAGTGGCACTGTGGCTCAAGCGGTGGAGCGCTCTCCTTGAACTAAAGAACGCAAGGACAGCGCCCAGGTCCAGAGTTCAAGCCCCAGGACCGACCAAAAAAAAAAAAAAAGAGAGAGAATGGCTAAGAATACAAGGGAAATACTACTGAATTCACTGGAAACTGAGTTGTAGCTATATAGAGGTAAGACAGCCGACTTGTTAAACACACAATTTTCATTAAATATATAATCTTTTTTTTTTTAAATAAAATACTCACCTGCCTCGACTGCCGGTACTGGAGGTACTAGGGGGCCTCACAGGTGTGTGAGAATTTGATAAACCTAAAAAGTAGAAAGTTAAATTGAAGAGCAACACGTGTAGGAACGTTTGGAATTCAAGATTATTACAGCCCTATTCAGAAACTTCTGGAAATTCAAGCCAGCTGCAAAGTCAGGGACAGCGTATCTAATCATTAGCAGGTATCAACCCGTTTCTTTCATCAGGTGATGAGAGATCCCTCAGGTGAGAATCATCTTCAGAACAATACTAACCAACAAACAAAAACTACCACATCAAGAGAATCTGTCGTTCTTCCCTTAAGTCACCTATTCAGAATTTCATCTGGTTTGTCGGTTGGGTTTTGGTTTTATTTTAGACAGAGTCTCAACATCTCAGAATGGACTCTTCTGAGTGCATGTGCCATGCTAGCAGTCCCTACTCTTTTTAAGTCCTAGCTAGAATAACTCCTTGTAAACCTGAAAACTTACATAATTAAAAAAAAAAAATACGGGGCTGGGAAGGTGGCTCAGTGGTAGAGGGCTTGCCTTGCATGCATGAGGCCCTGGGTTCAATTCCTCAGCACCACATAAGCAAAAAAGAAAAAAACCGAAAGTGGCACTGTGGCTCAAGTGGTAGAGCGCTAACCTTGAGCTGAAGAGCTGAGGGGCAGCGACCAGGCCCAGAGTTCAGGCCCCATGACCAGACCCAAAAAAACAAAAAACATTAATGATGCACCTCATGCAAAATCTACATTTACATTTTAACAGTTCTTCCTCCAGAAATGATGAATCTTTTTCATAAGAAAAAAGGCAGCCGGGTGCCAGTGGCTCATGCCTGTAATCCTAGCTACTCAGGAGGCTGAGATCTGAGGATCGTGGGTCAAAGCCAGCTTGGGCAGGAAAGTCTGTGAGACTCTTATCTCCAATAAAACGGGAAGTGGCACTGTGGCTCAAGTGGTAGAGCGCTTGCCTTGAGCTAAAGAGCTCAGGGACAGCGCCCAGGCCCAGAGTTCAAGCCACATGACCAACCAAAACAAAAGGAAAAAAGAAAAAAAAGTGACAGGTAGGTTACAGCAGAAAAATGTATTCTATCACCATTTCTGGACAGTTAACATATTTTGTCACTGTTTCACACACAAACTCAGGAATGAGGTTCAGTGACCTGTATAGGATCAATGAACACACCTCATGAATATTTTAATACTGTCCAGTAAATTTAAGTTTTTACAACTTGAAAATTCATGCTTTCCTTCAAATTTATGAAACAGATTTCTATGACTTAAAAAGTGTTTGAGAGCTGTATTAAATACTAAATAGCAGAGACAAGTCCAATGAGATGAGGTAGTTATCAACAGCAGAGGCTACAGTCACATACTTTATATCACAGCAAGAAGCCAGACTGTCAGCATTATTTGAACAGCAGAAATAAATTGGAGAATAACCAAGAAGAAAACTATCTACCACTGTGAGATTCAATTTTGTGTATCAAATTAGCTAGGAAATAGGATTCAGTTGTTGAGTCAAACATGAGTCTGCATGCTGCTATGAAGGTAGTTAGATATGATTAACATTTAAGTAAGTCAACTTTGAGAAAAGCAGATTATCCTCCTCAAGGTAGGTTGACTAAAGGCTCTAGACGCTAGACTCCAGACTATAATGTACCTTTCCCTGGATCTGCAGCCCTGCAGATTTTAGACTTGCCAGTATTTAGAATCACAAAATCATGGGAGTCAATACCTGAAGATGAATCTCCCTGTTACACTCCCATCCCCACTTGTGTTTTGTGTGTGTGTGTGTGTTGTGCCTGTAAGATATACATATCTCCATACACACTCGCCTCCTTTTTGTTTCTCTAGAAAAGCCTAACATAAACACTAACTTTCTTGGAATGGATGGTTAACGAGGCAAGTTCCCCACGTGCTTTACCTGATGATCCTGGAGATAAGGCAGAGGGTCCAGGGGAAGGGTTCATGGTGCTTGTAGGCTGTGGGGGTAGGTGGCTGCCTGTAATGTATCTACTTAGTAGATTATCTAAACTACTTGATCCAGCATCTTCCAACTAAAGAGAAAGAAGATAAAAATAAATCTGCTTAGATTAAAGAGGAAACATCATTAATTTCTTTATTGTCACTGCTTACACTCACAGTTTGCTAAAAGATTTTCCAATATAAAATTCAATTCAATTGTTACTTCCTTAGGTGCCTTTGAGAATCCACAGAATACAATCTTTTGTTTTTGAATCATGGACTTACCATGAAGCCCAGGGTGGCCTTAAAATTTGCAATCCTCCTGACTCAACTTCTGAGTGCTGAGATTTCATACATATATCACCTTACCCAGCTACAAGTACAAAATCTGCGAATAAAACTGTCTAGCCAGATGTTATCCAGCTACAAGTACAAAATCTGTGACAATGGCTCATGCCTATAATCCTAACTACTCAGGAGACTGAGATCTGAGGATCCGTGGTTCAAAGCGAGTCTGGGCAGTCAAGTCCATGAGACTTTATATCCAATTAACCACCAAAAAGCCAGAAGTGGTACTGTGACTCAGGTGGTGGAGCTATCCTTGAGCACAAAAGCTCATGGTTAACACCAAGGCCCTGAGTTCAATCTCTAAAACCAGTGCATGCGCACCCACATGCGCGCGCACGCACACACGCACACGCACGCACACACACACGCACACACACGCGCACACACACACACAACACAAAAAACCTAAATGTCTACACCTTATTCTTTAAAAATTTCAAGGAAATGTTGATGCTGAAATTAAAAGCCATTAAGGAATTTAAAAGCCATTAAGGAAACCTGAAATAAATACTCTACATATCTTAATTGACGTGATGGTCTAAATGACTCATTTACACGAATACAAACCTGTATAGGAGGAATATCTGGCAGGGAAGGAAGGTTCTCTGGGTTTGTAACTGAGGGGATTAGCTCTATGGCTGTAACAGATGGGCTGGTAGGACCTCGGTTTGCATTTGCCATAGTTGCTGTAGTAGGGCTCGTTGGATTAATTGTGGTGTTGTGTACTGATACCACAGGAAAGGGTCCGGCATGCCCGGGGTTTGAATGCTGATAAGAAAGAGGACAGTATCATTAGAGGATCTAACAGATATCTTAGTAACAATCTTTAGTTTAAAAAGGGTATTTAAAGAATCTCTCAAACTTTTACAAAACATTCAAAGCTTCAGTTTATTTATTTTTGTGCAGTTTGTAGGATAAAAGACTTGCCACATGGTGATATGACCTTCCTTTAGAACAAGACCGTATGAAGATGACAGGGAAGCTGTCCAGTTTACAAATAGCAGGCCAAGAAGGCCCGTGTTCTTTCTATACTCCCTGCTGACCGATTTGACTTTTTTCTAACAAAAATGACTAAAAAATACAGCTTGAAAGCCATCTTCAGGTCAAAAGGATGTGATGTACAGGTATGATGGCCCTGCCCAGACAACACCACATGTTGCCGGGAGTTTTATTTTAGAAAACAAAAGGATGGTAAAGAAAGGCAGAGAGAGAGGAAGGAAGGAAAGGAGGGAGGAAGGGAGGGCAGGCAGACAGGAAGGGTAGGTTTATTCAAATAAACTCCAAAAAATGGAAAGAGGGAGGGAGGGAGGGAGGGAGGGAGGGAGGGAAGGTACAGCTTAGCCAGGCACCCTTGGCTCAGGAGGCTGAGATCTGAGGATAGTGGTTCAAAGCCAGACCAGGCAGGAAAGTCTGTGAGACTTATCTCCAATAAACCACCAGAAAACTGGAAACTGGTGCTGTGACTCGAAGTAGTAGAGTGTTAAGCCTTGAACTAAAGGAGCCCAAGGACAGCACCCAGGCCCACAGTTCAAGCCGCCCCAGGACTGGCCAAAAAAAAAAAAAAAAAAAAGACAAAGTACAACTTGATATAGTAAGAAATGAAAAATTTACAAAGTGAACATGACTTTGATTCCAGATTTTAATACTGTGTGACCTTAAAAAAGTCACATAATCTCAGTAAATTTAGAAATGAGGGTGACATCTTACCTATTTTATTGGGAGAACTGTTACAAATATCATTTAAGGAGATATATGACAGTTGTTGAGAATTTCTACCCGTAGATAAATAAATTATTTAAAAACTAAAAAAGCTTATTCAGTGATTAGTCAGGACAGCTTACTAGAAAATGTTGAGAATACAGTGTCTGCATTCTCAAAAGAATATATAGTCCTTCATAGTATCCACAAGTTTCCCAAGAAATAAGGGTTGCATCAGCACCAAATTAAATTAGTATCTAAAAAATGGGTATGCCTAAGAATGTCCAGCCCTGCAAGGGCCATCTCCAACATGCCTCTGCCAACTGCTTTCCTCTCACTTGACTAAGAACAGCACACCACTGGCCCACTCCTAACTGGATTCTCAGCACAACTTCCATTAAAAGAGGGAGGGACCTATACAGTTAACCAAAGGTACAATTGGAAATAATACCGTTGGGTACCAAAGTTATATAACTGGTTATGAAACATAAATTACAAATTTTCAAATGGGTTCAATTAACGAGCAAAAAAGATGGAAGCAGAACTGTGACTCAAGTGGTAGAACGCACGCCAGCCTCGAACCAAAAAAAAAAATCTTTGGTGGGGCTGGGAAGGTGGCTCAGTGGTAGAACGCACGCCAGCCTCGAACCAAAAAAAAAAATCTTTGGTGGGGCTGGGAAGGTGGCTCAGTGGTAGAGTGCTTGCCTTGCATGCATGAGGCCCTGGGTTCGATTCATCAGCACCACATAAGCAGAAATAAAAGCTGGAAGTGGCACTGTGGCTCAAGTGGTAGAGCTCTAGCCTTGAGCTGAAGAGCTGAGGGACAGTGCCCAGGCCTAGAGTTCAGGCCCACGACCAGACCCCCCCCCCCAAAAAAAATCTTTGGGACGCTGAGGCCCTAAATTTAAGCCCTAGTACCAGCACACTCCCCCTTTCCCCCACAAAAAAGTTAAGGTCTGGAGGTGCAGCTAAAGAGATGAAGTGTGAGGCTCTGAGTTTAAATGCTCATACTGTCCAAAAATTTTCTATTTTATAAATAGAAGTGTTACTAAAAAAAGTGATATTTTAAAATCTTACGTTCAACACAAATAGAGTCTAAAACTTACAGAGTATAAATCTGTCTATAAATACATTTGGTTTTTGGTGGTGTTAGGGATTGAATCTAGGTAGTACCAAGAATGCAAGGCAAGCAATTGACTATACTTCCAACCTACATTCATTTTTGAACGATTCTATCATTATCTTTTTTAACACAGGTAAATCAAAATTTCCTTAGATTTGCCAACCACAATAGGAAAATCCAGGAGACACTAATCTCCAATTAACCACTAAAAAGCTAGAAGTAGTTCAAGTAGTTGAGTACTAGCCCTGAGCAAAAAATGCTCAAGGACAACATCTCCAGTTCCTGAGTTCCTGAATCTCAGTACCAACACAAACACAACACAACAAAACTCCACAAACATGTTCTTTATTTTGTCAGTTGTGGCACCTGAACTCTGGGCCTGGGCACTGTCTCTCAGCTCTTCAGCTCAAGGCTGGTGCTCTACCACTTGAGCCACATGCCACTTTTGGCCTTTTGGCTTATGTGGTGCTAAGGAATCAAACCCAGGGCCTCATGCATGCAAGGCAAGCACTCTACCACTGAGCCACGTTCCCAGCCCACAAACATGTCCTTAAAGTTGAATATAAAATTTTATGTGTGCCAGGTGCTGGTGGCTCACTCCAATAATTCTAAACTACTCAGGAGGCTGAGAGTTGAGGATCACAGTTCGGAGCCAGCCCAAGTAGTAAAGTCCATGAGCCAGTTTCCTCCAATGAACTACTCAGAAAAAGCTGGAAGTGGCACTGTGGCTCAAGTGTAGAGTGCTATATATAGCCTTGAGCACAAAGAAGCTCAGGAACAGAGCCCAGGCCCTGAGTTCAAGCCCCCAAACCAGCAATAAATAAATGAGTAAATAAAATCAAATTCTTAAATATACCAATGACATATCCTCAACAAGCGATTGTGTAAAACAATGTTTTTAGTTTTAAAATTGTATGATTCTTACAAATGTAACTCTAGGCATACTTGTCTTTGGAGGTGTGGCTGCATCATGGAATACTGAGGGCCGCTGTGTCGGGGGATGCCTGGAATCCTGGCGGCGTTCTGCGCCAGCCTCATCTGATGGGCCTGGAAAGCCCCACAGCTCATGTTGCCTCGCTGCATTGTCTGCACACTGATCAGTCTTGGAGGCTGTGAGGAGTAGCAATTGCAGTGTGTATAACTATTTTTAGAAATACATCTTTCCATTATAAAATGTTATGGCAAAATTCAACTCAAGACAGAAGGATGCAATGCCATTATTCTCTTTTCTAGCCCTAATCCTCATCACTTCAAATTTTTGAGAGAGAGAGAGAGAGGGAGAGGGAGAGAGAGAGAGGGAGAGACAGAGACAGAGAAAGAGAGAGAGGGAGAGGGAGAGAGAGAGAGGGGGAGAGGGAGAGGAGAGAGAGGAGAGGAGAGAGACAGAGAAAGAGAGAGAGGGAGAGGGAGAGAGAGAGAGGGGGAGAGGGAGAGGAGAGAGAGAGAGAGAGAGAGAGAGAGAGAGAGAGAGAGAGAGAGAGAGAGAGAGAGAGAGCGCATGAGCCCAATATTAGTTTGGACTATGAAGGACAGGGAGTATAAGAGAGACAGGCATGCAAATGATCTGACAAATGCCTGAACAACAGAAGAACCATGACAGTTCTCGGGAAGACACAGTCTTGGTTCTTTGGCCCATGACCTTGTATCTAGCAGGGAGAGATGAAAACTCCAGAACTTCCTAGTATGAGTGAGTGAGTTTGGTTTTTATTATTTACTCACTACCACTTGTCTTCTGTCTCCTCACATCCCTACTGCAGCCTTTTCACTTACTTGCAGGCTTCCCACTTCACAACCAGGGTGGCGGTGGCTTGATGCTCACCTGCTGCTGTAACATTTGTGGGGACGCCTGTCTGGCGTGCTGCTGAGCAGTGGCTGTTGTGGTGGGTACAGGGGCTGGTGGTTGCTGCATCCTCATCTGCTGCAACTGCTGCTGTTTCTGTGCATACACTTGCTGTTGCATGTGCTGGAGTCGAAGCTGTGCTAGGTTAATCTGTCCAGGGGTTTTACTGATGTGGTTTGTCCCTGGAGGAACTTGCCCAACCACCACATTAGGAGTGTAACCAGGAGCCGGTTTACTCTCTATTACTAGATTACCTGAGGAATTGAAAAATGAGAAGAATTTGCATACAATCAACTGAACTGGCTACTTTGAGGATAAGCTCTTCTTCCTCTGATAAGTACCTCAAAGCATCCAAAAATACAGCAAGGATAGGAGCAAGGTTTGGACATACTGATGATCAGAAACCAAGTATACTCCAAAGTCTTACTCCCAAAAGACTTATGACTGGCCATAATATGCTATTTTCCCTTACTTTTCCTTTATACAAATGCCCAGAAAATTGAAGAGTAAGTATTAGTAGAGAAGGCCCATCTAATCAGTGTAAAGCAGTTCTCCCTGACAAGACTAAAGGATACTCATGATTGCTGATACTGATTCAAGCTGCTTTTGCATTGCCAAGTATTAACAGGTAGACTTTATATTGCTACAAAATTGTCTTTTATATAAAAAAAATTGTCTTTTATGGAAACACTGAACTGTTTAAACCATTCATGTCTTACAAAGAGACCATATCCCCCCTTTTTTTTCTTTTGCCAGTCCTGGGGCCTGGACTCAGGGCCTGGATATTGTCCCTGAGCTTCTTTTGCTCAAGGCTAGCACTCTACCACTTGAGCCACATCCCCACTTGTGGCTTTTTCTGTGTATGTGGTACTGAGGAATCGAACCCAGGGCTTTATGTGTGCTAGGCAAGCACTCTACCACTGAGCCACCTTCCCAGCCTTTCCCTCACTTCCAACAGAGCCATTACTTTGTATGAACAGAGGATCAATTTTAGGAAGGTAGAGGATGACAGACCACATATGATCTGTCATACCATGTTAAGTTTTACAACCTTTTTAAAATGAAGGGAAAAAAATTCTTAGTTCCTCTACCACACAGAAATTATTTATGATGCTAAAATTCCAAAATGACCTAGTAGACACAGAGTATATTTTAGCAGGACACAGATTCTTCTTTTATAATTCAAATGCTAAGGACCTGGCTATTTAGAAAACAAAACTACTGGGGCTGGGAAGGTGGTTCAGTGGTAGCGCACTTGCCCTGCATGCCTGAGGCCCTGGGTTTGATTCCTCAGCACCACATAAGCAAAAAGAAAAAAGCCGGAAGTGGCGCTGTGGCTCAAGTGGTAGGGCGCTAGCCTTGAGCTGAAGGACAGCACCCAGGCCCAGAGTTCAGGCCCCACAACCAGACCCCCCCCAAAAGCAAAACTACTCAAGGTTCAGGCAACTCTATTTTGACCAGGTTTTTTTCTGATGCCATTTCAAGAGACAGAGTCTCATTATGTTGCCCAGGCTGCCCTCAGATTCTTGGGCTCACATGATCCTGTTATCTCAGCTTCCTGAGTAGCTCCAAATATAGACAACATGCCATTGGTACCTGATATTTTTGTGCCAGTCCTGGGGCCTGAACTCAGGACCTAGCAACTCTCTCTGCCAAGGCTAGCACACACTTGAGCCACAGCTGCCACTCCTGGCTTTTTGCTGATTAATTGGCGGTGAGTCTTATAAACTTTCCTGCCTGGCCTAGCCTGCAATCTACAATGTCCAGATCTCAATCTCTTGAGTAGCTAGGATTATAAGGTATGAGCCATTAGTACCCAACTGTTTTTGTTTTTAATTGAACTATTTTTCTCTATCTCTATAACTTTCCTCAATGGTCTTTATGTCTACAACATGAAATAACAAAAGCAAAGCTCATTGTTCTACCTAGTGAAAAGAGCACCTTTGCTTTCTAATGTTCTTCAGGGTATGACCACTGGACACTTCAGTTTCCTGAAGGTGCTCCTCTATGTACCACTGGCATAATTAAACTATAGAATTGAAGTATTTTACTAGGGAATAAAGAATCATTTATATTGAACACTGAGCTTTCAAAAGGTTGCAAGAGGGAGCTGGGGGCTGGTGGCTCATGCCTGTAATCCTAACTACTCAGGAGGCTGAGAACTGAGGCTTGCAGTTCAAAGCCAGCCCAGGCAGGAAAGTCTGTGAAACTCCTATTTCCAATAAACCACCAAAAATCCAGAAGTGGTGCTACGGCTCAACTGGTAGAACACTAGCTTTGAGCTGAAGAGCTCATGGACAGTGCCCAGGCCCAGAATTCAAGCCCCCATGTCCAATCAAGAAAAAAAAAAATAAGTTGCAAGAGGGAAAAGCTAGGAAATGGCATACCTTAGCTGAATACTGGTGGCTCATGCCTATAATCCTAGCTACTCAGGAGGCTGAGATCTGAGGATTGTGGTTCAAAGCCAGCCCAGGCAGGAGTTAAACTCAATGGGACTCTTTATCTCCAATTAACCACCAGAAAATGGGAAGTAGCACTGTGACTCAAAGTGGTAGAGCACTAGTCTTGAGCTGAAGAGCTCCGGGACAGCATTCAGGCCCAGAGTTCAAGCCCCATGACTTACAGAAAGAAAGGGGGGGGGCGTGAGGGAGGGAGGGAGAGAAGGAGAAAAAGAAAGAAAGAAAGAAAGAAAAATGGCACACCTTAAAAAATATTATAAGGACTGGGAATGTGGCTTGGTGGGTAGGGTGCTTGCCTCGCATGCATAAAGCTCTGGGCTTGACTCCTCAGTACCACAAAAACTGAAAAGGCTGGAAGTGGCACTGTGGCTTAAGTGGCAGAGTGCTATACCTGAGCTAAAGCAGCTCAGGGACAGTGTCCAGGTCCTGGATTAAAAAGAAAAAAGAGATGGGCATTGGCGGCTCATTCCTATAATCCTAGTTACTCAGGAGGCTGAGATCTGAGGATCATAGCTTGAAGCCAGCCTGGGCAGGAAAGTCCAGAAGACTTATCTCCAGTTAATCATCAAAACCCCAAAGGTCGAGCTATAGATCAGGTGTAGAGCGCTAGCCTTGAGCAGGGGCAATGCCTAAGTCCTGAGTTCAAGCCACAGGACTGGTACCAAAAAAAAAAAAGTCCCCACTATACAGGGCTGGGTGTGGCTCAGTGGTAGAGAGCAACCTCAGTGATTGAGGCCGTGGGTTCAATTCCTACCAATAAAAACAAAGTACCACTACATTGAGTAAATTCTATGTATCATTAAGACACTATAAAACCACTAGAATGAGTTTCCAACAAATAGGGTTATTTTCCAAATCATTCATATTCTAAAGCTTAAAACTATTTAAAATTTCTTTACATGTTTTCTCCTTTCAATTTATTGCTTCAAGTTATATCCATGTGACAATTTCTCACCTAAATTGACTACATTCTTTGCCCAGAAGGTGGGATCACAATGGAAACGTATGGCTCCATTAGCAGCAGGGACAGGATCACACCGCGCTTTCAAAATATGACGCAACTGAAAAGTAATCTTTAAGGGTAAAAATTCACATTAGTCTTAAGATTAAATGCCAATTGAGAAAGCATATGAGACAGAGACTTAACAAAAGCCATACAAGCCCATGTGAAGTCTCTTACCTGAGAGACTCGATGCTTAAATTAGCAATCAAATATAATATACATACTTGAATTTCTGCTGATTCTGATAAGAAATTAAGTTAAGATTCTAGGTACCTTTAAAAGAATACACACAATGTGGTTCCACTTAAATAAATTCTCAAAAATGACACATCAGATTTGTGTTGCCTAAGATCATGGATAAAGGGAACAAGGCAAGTTTTAAGGATAGAAATTTTCTGTACCTTGATGTAAGAGTGGCTGCATTTGCTTAAATTCACATTTACCCTTTAAACCGATAGTTATGTTTTCACCACCAACAGTAAGTGAAGGAGTGAAGGTAAACAGAATTGTACTAAGGCCAGTCACAGAAAACTGAAGACAGTGTGCGCCTCACCAGCCGCTTGCTGTACAGCAGAGCAGTGCTGCTGCCACTTGCAATCGCCCAGTTTGTGAAGTTCATGACATGCTTCACCTGCCGGGAGAGGCCCGTGATGTCACTCTGCTGCTGCAGGAGCTTCATCTGTCTTTCTTTCGTAACATTCTGAAATGGAAGAAGAACTTCACTAAAGAACATGCCACAGGAAGAAGACACATGGATGCAATACTGACATTTCCCTTTAAAAAGGGGAGAAGAGCAGCTTGTGATTGTCTACTAAGGCTATAGTAAGAGAAGTAACTAACAAAAGTGGAACTAAAATTCAGCTCTCTACGCTAAGATATTCCACATGTGAAATTCATGTTAGTCAATCTCTTATTCTTTAGTCATATAAAATGTTTAAAATAAGGTCTTCCTGTTAAAATATTAAATATGTATTATAGCATTATGAACTGAATTTTAGAAATAATTTTACATAATCAACTAAATTTCCTAGACCAATAAAAATGTGTCATCTGAGTGCCATCTAGTGGTATTACTTGAGATTAAAGTTAAAGACTGTCACAACTCAAAACAAAATGAAGATCAATTCCAGAATTCTAAGCATTAGGGCATTTGTGATATGACAAAGTTCACAAATACGAAGGAGTTAGTCAACCTATCCAATTTCAGAAAAAGGCTGCCAAGGAAACAAAAGTGCTCAAGGGAACTAGACCCCAAGGTTCAAATGACACAGCAACAACCTTACAATGACTTGGTTCTCCCCAAATTATTCAACTTGGTTGATTGCATAACACTTTTCCTAAGAAAGTAAGTTTTATTTTATATTGTAAATCAATGAAAAAAGTACTCATCTGGAAGAATTTTCATTTACAACTTCATCAAAAAAAAAATCAATCCTTTAACAAAACCCAGGAAAACCTCTCTTTTTCTAAGTTTAGGAACATATCACATTAGAAAACATCTATTTTAAAATCACTATTAAAGTATATGGGACACTTGTCAGAAAGTACTGACATTCACTTCAATCTTAAGAGGTGTCTTTTAATTCTGAAGCTCTTAAACCCATACTACGAATATTAGCTATACAGTTAAAATGTACTTACAACTTAAAAAATAGTATCAAAAAATAGCTACTGCTAAGTGCTCTCCATTCCCCTGGTGCTTTTGAGGTATAGAGCAATGAACAAGATACCCAAGAGGAAAGAGACACCAACTTTAGTGATGTGAGAGTACTTTTCATCTCACCACTGTTTTCAGTGGAGAGACAGATTTAAAATTCAGAAATAATACACAGTTCATATAACTTATTTGTAATTATATGCCTAATTTTTTTTTTTTTTTGTCGGTCGTGGGGCTTGAACTCTGGGCTTGGGCACTGTCCCTCAGCTCTTCAGCTCAAGGCGAGCGCTCTACCACTTAAGCTACAGCGCCACTTCCGGTTTTCTGGTGGTTTATTGGAGATAGGAGTCTCAAGGTCTCTCCTGCCCGGGCTGGCTTTGAACCGTGATCCTCAGATCTCAGCCTCCTGAGTAGCTAGGATTACAGGCGTGAGCCACCAGCGCCCGGCCAGGAAATTTTTCTTTTCTTTTGAAATCATTTAAGATGAAAAGCTCTACAACAGTTAAAGCACTCTCTAATACTCTAGTATCTATTATAGTCTTTTTAATCATCACAAACTCATTTTAAAAAGCAAAGCAGGGCTGGGAAGGTGGCTCAGTGGTAGAGCACTTGCCTTACATGCATGAGGCCCTGGGTTCAATTCCTCAGCAACACATAAGCAAAAAGAAAAAAGCTGGAAGTGACGCTGTGGCTCAAGTGGTAGAGCACTAGCCTTGAGCTGAAGAGTTGAGGGACAACGCCCAGGCCCAGAGTTCAGGCCCACGACTGGACCCCAAAAAAAATAAATAAAAATAAATAAAAAGCAAAGTGAGCCACTGAGCACTAGTGGCTCATACCTATAATCCTAGCTACTCAGGAAGCTAAGGATCTGAGGACTGGGGTTCAAAGCCAGTCTAGGAAGAGAAGTCTATGAGACACTCATCTTCAATTAATCATCAGAAAACTGGAAATGGCACTATGGCTCAAAGTGGCAGCCTTGAGCATAAAAGCTCAGGATCCAGGCCCTGAGTTCAAGCTGACATACATAAATACATACATACAATTCCAATATTTGTGAGTCTACATGATAACCATAGTAACCCTGATTCACAGCTTCAGAAATTTCCAGGTTTTAATTACGCTAGCTCCAAGAGTTTGTCTTTCTAGCTTGAGTCCTAACCTTGTTAATCTACATTTTCATAGTACTTATTACCACTTTCCTTATAAATTTCGATTCTTTACAAATAAATGTGTTCAAGTAAAGTGTTTCTTAAGTAACAAGGATGACAGCAGGTGAGTTGGGTCTGCACACATTCTTGTTATCACACTACTATAAGAAGTCTTTAATTTTGGTTCTGTAGATTAAGCTGCTCTCAATACTCTACCTTCCACATACAGTCTCTACTTTTAAGTAATTCAACTTGCCTTTCTATTACTGCTTCTTCCAAGTTTACAGTTTATACAAATGGAATCACATTATTTTAAAACAAAAATGCATCGTAGATTATATAAATTTTTCATAGTTAACAATTATAATCAAACTCAAATTTCATTATTTATTAAAAACTTTTCTATATGTGCTTAATAGAGTAGAAAACATTTAAATTGGACCCTCTCTTCTTCGATAGTACAAAATGTAAAATTATAGCTTTAAGGCAAACTTACCTATTCTGTACCTGGGTAGCTGCAAAATGAACGTAATTCTTCTTCTCAAGAAGCTTAGCCAATAAATTCTCAATTGCACCTTTCTGATTTTGAAATGCTTCTTCCAAAAACTGATACCTAAAATCCAACACAGAAACAATATTTAAAACAAAACATACAACGAAGATTTAGTAAAGAAGGAAGATATGTGAGTCAATTGTGAAACTTCACTCTGATCATCCTGCTTATCTGGTTAAAAGTGATGTGGTACAAATCAGGGATGGGAATGACCAAGCTTTCCCATGACATGACATGCTGGAGGCAAGGTAGAATTTACTTACGTGAGAGACATTCCTGTTCCAGATCAAGCCAAGTGGAAAGAAAAAGCACAAATCTGTTCTGGGAATCAGTTCTGAGATGCAGTGTGTGGATCTCAATCTGAGTATATTTTCAACTTGGTTACTTTTTAAACAAACAGTAATTTAAAAAAGGAGAAAAAGATGTTCCTAGACAGACACTACTGTGCCTTTTGGTCTGGAGTCCCCCAAAAGGCTACACAGAATCCCCAAACTTTTCAAACTCTCAAAAGGTGATATCTACCCAAATGTTGTCAGAAAACGTTTGATCAAAGAAGGTAAGAAATCCAGGCTGAAAACACCCAAGATCCTGCATCATGTTACTCCACAGATTGTAAACACAAGTACACCAGCAGTGCTCTGAATAAACATACAAAGAAAAATGAGTAGGTTGCAGAATATGCTAACCTCTGGCAAGAGAAGGAAGAAAGCCAAAGAAAAACGTCAGGAAGAGTGCTGAGAGATGAAAGCTGTCCTTTCTGAGAGCTTCTACTTCTGAGTCTAAAGTAAGAATCTTTAATAATAAATAATCCTACAGCAAATAAATGACTACATCAACAAATTATTTTTCATTTCTTCTATATGCTTTCTACATGAGTAAGGGAGACCCATGTGGCATAAAGACTAATAATGTAATAGGTACAAATATGCATTGATGCCACAATGTGATGAGTGGTGACAGTAGACTATTAAATAATGTGTCACATTAATTTAGTGCTTAAATTGGACTCCGTATCAAAAAAAAAAAGCTCACAAAGGAACCCCAACAGTATCCTCAGCGAAGAGTGGAGTCACAGTTCTGTACTCTGACTTCAATATGGCCTAAGAAAAATATACAAAGGCCAGGATATGAGAAAACTAATGTATAAAACCCAGATGGCCTAGCTACTCAGGAGGCTGAGACCTGAGGATTGGGACCCAAAGGTAGCCCAGGCAGGAAAATCCATGAGATTCTTATCTCCAATAAACCACTGAGTAAACCAGAAGTGGTGCTGTGGCTCAAGTGGTAGAGCACTAGCCTTGAGCTGAAGAGCTGAGGGACAGAGCCCAGGCCCAGAGTTCAAGACCCATAACTGGCCAAAAAACAAAAACCACAGGAGACAACTGTATTTCTTTCTATCCTCTTAATAGGAAGTCCCTGAAGAATCCTGAGGCAAATATTAAAATCAGATTTGCATCTTAGGAAAATATTAAAAATATAAAAGACCTAGCCAGTGAAAAGGGAGACTAGATAGAACTCTGCAACAGATGCTTCTGGGGTACAACTAAAGGAACACAGCTCTGGTGATCTGTGAGGTCATATCAGTTATGGCAAGGTTCATAGCAGAAGTTGAAAACTGAATGCCAAGCTAAAGCTGTCAACAAGAAGGTCACTGGGGATGAGAAGTTTAAGATACTGACCCAATTATAATTGCCTTGGGACACTGAAATGACAAAAGGCAAGAACTGAGATGAGGAGAAAGTTTATGACCATCTAGATGTCTGTCTCAGTTAAGAGGCCTTCCTATAAAAGAGGAAATGCAGCCGGGCACTGGTGGCTCACGCCTATAATCCTAGCTACTCAGGAGGCTGAGATCTGAGGATCCCGGTTCAAAGCCAGCCCGGGCAGGTGAGACCGTGAAACTCCTATTTCCAATAAACCACCAGAAAACCGGAAGTGGCGCTGTAGCTCAAGTGGTAGAGCGCTCGTCTTGAGCTGAAGAGCTGAGGGACAGCGCCCAGGCCCAGAGTTCAAGCCCCACGACCGACCAGAAAAAAAAAAAAAAAAGAGGAAATGCTATGGAGTTTACATAGGAAAAGTGTGCTTGGTGGTAGATTCAAGGAGAAAGGGAAAATGAAAGGCAGACAGAGGGAAAGGGTAGAATTGTATGGGGTTTTGAATTAGAAAACAGCTGGTGAGTAAGGTTTTTATTCTGCTTATTTAGAGACCTTTTTTTTTTTTTTTCTGTCAGTTGTGGGCCTTGAACTCTGGGCCTGGGTGCTGTCTCTCAACTCTTTAGTTCAAGGCTAGTGAAGGTGAGAGCTCTACCACTTGAGCCACAGCACTACTTCTGGTTTTCTGGTGGCTGGTTAATGAGAGATGAGAGTCTCACAGACTTTCCCTGCCTGTGCTGGCTTTAAACCACAATCCTCAGATCTCAGCCTCCTGAGTAGCTAGGATTACAGGTGTGAGTCACCGGTGCTGGCTAGAGAAATTTTTATTGTGGTAATAAAACTTACATGTTTAACCATCTTTAAAAAAATATCTTAACAGAAAACTGTCAATGAAGTCAAACACATTAAAACTTGTATAAATATTAACAGTACCCAAATATCATGTGAGCATATTAATTTATGCAGGATGCATGCACCATGTGTGTCTGTAAAACTTCCAATGCAGGGGTTAGGTCAGGAGCATCAGTCAAGCCCAAAGGTTTGGAAACAGCCTGGGAAATCACCTACTATCTTAAAAAAAAAAAAAAGGTAAAAGGCTGAAGTGGCTCAAGTAGTAGGGTGATTGCTAGGTAGGCCCTGGATTCACCACTACTATTAAAAAACAAAACAAAACAAAAAACACAGTGTGATGTTGTGTGTCTATCTCGGCACTTGGGAAGTGAAGGCACAATAGAGTTGAAGAACAAACTACTATACTGTCATAAAGCAATAAGCAAAAACAGTAACAACAAACCAGTCAATGCTGGATAGTGGACACAGAAACTGCCTTCACTAAAGACACCTTTGATTTATTCCATATGCTCAGATTCTTATTCCATATGCTCAGATTCATGTCCAAAAATTTTTTCTATATTAAATTTGTACAAAGTATTAAATATGAGAAATCTATACCAACACTTAATGAGCTTTATTTAGCTTGTAATGAAAAGATCTTTTTGAAATTAGGTTTAATTATATAAGCACAAAAGAAAGCATCAATTAGTATTCAAAATTCACAAAACCTATTTCCTAGGTTTGTCTTTATCCAGTATGTTCCAGAATTCGATTTCTTGTAATATATCATTGTATTCAGATGAACAAAAGCCAAAGTGACATTCTGTTTTCCTAAATTGTGAAGGTAAAAATGTTTAGCTTTTGCTGTCTTAATACAGGGACTGGCACTTGAGCTGAATGTTAAAGAATGAGTAAGACTGGGCAAGGAAGGTGGCTCAGTAGTAGAGTGCTTACCTAGCACACATGAAGTCCTGGATTCAATTCCTCAGTACCACATACACAGAAAATAGAAGTGGTGCTGTGGCTCAAGTGGTAGAGTGCTATCCTTGAGCAAAGAAGCTCAGGTACAATCCTAAGTTCAAGCCCCAGGACTGGCCAAAAACTAAATGAATGAATGAATGAATGAGTAAGACAGTGTTTGAAACTATCTCTTATCCTCAGCATGAAGCAGAAGATAAAGCTAATGTAATGAATAGGGAAACACCAGAATGAAGAGCTCTGTAGTGAAGCTGGATTTGGGTAAGAGGTAACAGGAAACCTTCAAGGGACAGACTGAAAACAGAATCAGCTCTAGCTCTGCTGACTTGCTTAAACAGATACCAATGTGTGACTGCAACAGAATAGCTACTAGGAGCTTGCAAAGTCAAAGGGCACTGCTGACTATAAACTACCTCCACTAGCTTACAGAACAAAACCCAAAAAATAATGGGGGCAAGAATGCAAAGCAGTACTCATTTTATAAATGTTGAAAGAAACAGTCCTGTCAGAACCATAACTAGCCTACTAATGTGAGGGTTTACATGTAATGCAAGATGACATGACATATAGAACAGATACATTGAGAGGAATGTTGGGCAAAAGAAATGGTGATACATGAGTAAATATAAAACTCTATGCTGTTGTTTTTCTTCCCATAATTTTCTTAAATGACAGCTACTGTATTGTTAACTGCTTGCCTAATGAAGAGCAAGGGCCAGAGTTCAATCCCCAGTACTGCCTCCCCCCAAAAAAGATACCCATAGGATTTTAAATCTTGAGGACCTGACACACCAGACACATAAGAAATGCATCTGGGCATTGGTGGCTCAAGCTTGTAATCCTAGCTACTGAGGAGATCTCTCTACTAAGATCTGAGGATCACGGTTCAAAGCCAGCCCGGGCAGGAAAGTCCATGAAACTCTTATCTCCAATAAACCACCAGAAAACCAGAAGTGGTGCTGTGGCTCAAGTGGTAGAGCGCTTGCCTTGCGCTAAAGAGTGCAGAGACAGCGCCCAAACCCAGAGTTCAAGCCCCACAACCGACAAAAAAAAAAGAAAGAAATGCAACATAATCAGGAAAACACTAATTATGGAATTACTTTTATTGTTACTTGAAAAAGCAAAATGAAAGTAAGAGTATTGGGACAGATCCTGACAGTAAGCCTAGTTCGAATTTCGATTGGCCTGCTAGCCTCAGGGTATCCCCCCCCAAAAAATTATGCTGGAACATAGTTATTCCAGAAGAGAAAAAGTCATAACCAGAAAATTCTTTTTTTTTTGGGTCCAGTCGTGGGGCCTGAACTCTGGGCCTGGATGCTGTCCCTCAGCTCTTCAGCTCAAGGCTAGCGCTCTACCATTTGAGCCACAGCACCACTTCGGGCTTTTTTCTTTTTGCTTATGGTGCTGAGGAATTGAACCCAGGGCCTCATGCATGCAAGGCAAGTGCTCTACCACTGAGCCACCTTCCCAGCCCCCGGAAAAATCTTTTTTTTTTTTTTTTTTTGGGTCCGGTCGTGGGGCCTGAACTCTGGGCCTGGGCGCTGTCCCTCAGCTCTTCCGCTCAAGGCTAGCGCTCTACCACTTGAGCCACGGCGC